CTGTGACTTGTATCTCTGTCCCATGTCGGATATGAGGATGAAGAAAAGGATGGGAGCAAGTACTGTATCTTGTGGCACAGAGCTTTTCACTGTAGCCCCCTCAGACTTTAATCTGTATACTATTATCTTTGTGTTCTGTTAGAAAGTTATAGATCCATCTACCCACTTTTCCTGTTATTCCTTTATCACGCATTTTGGTGCTGTTACACCATTTACGCACATGTTGAAGGTTTCGCAAAGTCATTGTATACTACATCTGCATTTTGTTTGTCATCCAGTGCATCCAAGACCATATCATTGTGACCCAGTAGCTGTGAGGCAGGAGTGACCATCCAAGGGCCATGCATAGTTTATCCAGTAGTTGTGGGGCAGGAGTGACCATCCAAGACCATGTCAAGGGGACCATATTGGAGGCAGGAGTGACCATCCAAGACCATGTTAAAGTGACTAGTAGTTTGAAGGGGTTTTGATTTGCTCTAAGCCCACTGCCCTGGATTGTGCAATTGTGGTATCCAAGTGCGCGATCTTATTTATTGGTACAAGTATTGTATGTTCTCATGATCTTTCCCTTTCCCCAGGGATTTGGGAACTGAGGGCAAAAGGGTGTTCACTTTTGGGGGAAAAGCAAAACTGAGTACACAGGGTTGTGAGGGCAGCAACTGTGATTGGATGCGAGTAAACAGGATGAAACAAAACCCCCCCGCTATAATGAATATTATTCTGTCTTTTAAAGGTAACATCATTTTCTTGTACATAAACATCAATACCAAAAAATGAAGAAATTTAAAATGCAACTCGGGGATCTTTCACCTTGGGGGAGGTATACCCCCCAGGGGGTTGCTGTTTTCTAAACCCACTACCGAGGACACACATTACTTTCCTTTAAAAAATTCTATCCTTACTTATAGTTATCATGGGAAAATATTTATTGTAAGGAATCTGAAAAAATAAGAATGGGGATAATTAAAAATCGTTTACAATTTTATGGCCCCAAGCAAAGCGTGTAAAGCAGGGCAGCCTCTATTTCATTTTTATACATAACATTCACTGTTTAAAGACTTTTTTATGAGTGGTCTTGTGGTAAACATCCAACACATACAGCAAAGTGCACTGTACGCACTTGCAAAAGCTGTACAAAGCAAAATGTAGCTCTAAACATTTAAACCTTAACAATCTTCCCTCAGCATTCTAAGTAAGATCCTTGGTTAAAAAAAAAAAAAAAGATAACATGAAAGTTGATCTCTGTTGAACCAGGTATTAGTTACCAAAGAGCAGCTGGTTATCATCTGTACTTTGTGTGTGCTGCCAGCCAGGGTAGCACTCTTGTCTGTTTCTTGCATATGATAGTTTTTTACAGGAGAAGGAAGAGTACAGTACTTGTCTTATCTGTTGGCTGGTTGTGGTAACATTGCGCCCATATGGTATTTGTTTTAATCAGGGGGAAGCGTTGAACACATAAGGGTCATATAGTGCCTGAGGAATAGGAAGCATTCAGGTTTGATTCAGGGAAGGGGAGAATGAGTCCCTCATTGCCATCAGTCCACCTCCCTGTAGTGGGTAAATTATTATTAAGATTTGTTGATTGGTTGTGGTAGTCACTCAGTGAAGAATTGACCTGCATTGTAAGAGTTACTTCCATGTAGACTACTAGTCACATCTGTACAATGGCTATGCTTGATAATAATAATAATAATTAAAAATATACAAAAATTTTATAATTTTATGGAAAGGCCATAGTATAAATAACATTTTGGGAAGACTTAAACTAGAAATAAAACTGCTTGCAGAATGTTTAGGGAGTTTTGATGCAGATGAAAGAATAAATGTTGTGGTGCAGATGAAAGAATAAATGTTGTGGTGCAGATGAAAGAATAAATGTTGTGGTGCAGATGAAAGAATAAATGTTGTGGTGCAGATGAAAGAATAAATGTTGTGGTGCAGATGAAAGAATAAATGTTGTGGTGACTTAAATGCTATAAAATGGGAGACTGTTGTAGATGGCAAAGTAAATAAGTTTAGATTGTCAAGCATAAATGATGAAGGAGCTTCTAGTCGAATTATTCATAGAAAACATTTAGTAATAAGAAATATGTATTTAAAGAATAAGAATAATAAGTACAATGAAGCATGACATAGTGCTAAATGACAACAGTTTGTTATTTTTTTATTTTATTATCACACTGGCCGATTCCCACCAAGGCAGGGTGGCCCGAAAAAGAAAAACTTTCACCATCATTCACTCCATCACTGTCTTGCCAGAAGGGTGCTTTACACTACAGTTTTTAAACTGCAACATTAACACCCCTCCTCCAGAGTGCAGGCACTGTACTTCCCATCTCCAGGACTCAAGTCCGGCCTGCGGTTTCCCTGAACCCCTTCATAAATGTTACTTTGCTCACACTCCAACAGCACGTCAAGTATTAAAAAACCATTTGTCTCCATTCACTCCTATCAAACACGCTCACAGCATGCCTGCTGGAAGTCCAAGCCCCTCGCACACAAAACCTCCTTTACCTCCTCCCTCCAACCTTTCCTAGGCGACCCCTACCCCGCCTTCCTTCCACTACAGACTGATACACTCTGAAGTCACTCTGTTTCGCTCCATTCTCTCTACATGTCTGAACCACCTCAACAACCCTTCCTCAGCCCTCTGGACAACAGTTTTGGTAATCCCACACCTCCTCCTAACTTCCAAACTACGAATTCTCTGCATTATATTCACACCCACACATTGCTCTCAGACATGACATCTCCACTGCCTCCAGCCTTCTCCTCGCTGCAACATTCATCACCCATGCTTCACACCCATATAAGAGCGTTGGTAAAACTATACTCTCATGCATTCCCCTCTTTGCCTCCAAGGACAAAGTTCTTTGTCTCCACAGACTCCTAAGTGCACCACTCACCCTTTTCCCCTCATCAATTCTATGATTCACCTCATCTTTCATAGACCCATCCGCTGACACGTCCACTCCCAAATATCTGAATACATTCACCTCCTCCATACTCTCTCCCTCCAATCTGATATCCAGTCTTTCATCACCTAATCTTTTTGTTATCCTCATAACCTTACTCTTTCCTGTATTCACTTTTAATTTTCTTCTTTTGCATACCCTACCAAATTCATCCACCAATCTCTGCAACTTCTCTTCAGAATCTCCCAAGAGCACAGTGTCATCAGCAAAGAGCAACTGTGACAACTCCCACTTTAATGTGTGATTCTTTATCTTTAACTCCACGCCTCTTGCCAAGACCCTCGCATTTACTTCTCTTACAACCCCATCTATAAATATATTAAACAACCACGGTGACATCACACATCCTTGTCTAAGGCCTACTTTTACTGGGAAATAATTTCCCTCTTTCCTACATACTCTAACTTGAGCCTCACTATCCTTGTAAAAACTCTTCACTGCTTTCAGTAACCTACCTCCTACACCATACACCTGCAACATCTGCCACATTGCCCCCCTATCCACCCTGTCATATGCCTTTTCCAAATCCATAAATGCCACAAAGACCTCTTAGCCTTATCTAAATACTGTTCACTTATATGTTTCACTGTAAACACCTGGTCCACACACCCCTACCTTTCCTAAAGCCTCCTTGTTCATCTGCTATCCTATTTTCCGTCTTACTCTTAATTCTTTCAATAATAACTCTACCATATACTTTACCAGGTATACTCAACAGACTTATCCCCCTATAATTTTTGCACTCTCTTTTGTCCCCTTTGCCTTTATACAAGGAACTATGCATGCTCTCTGCCAATCCCTAGGTACCTTACCTCTTCCATACATTTAATTAAATAATTGCACCAACCACTCCAAAACTATATCCCCACCTGCTTTTAACATTTCTATCTTTTATCCCCATCAATCCCAGCTGCCTTACCCCCTTTCATTTTACCTACTGCCTCACGAACTTCCCCCACACTCACAACTGGCTCTTCCTCACTCCTACAAGATGTTATTCCTCCTTGCCCTATACACGAAATCACAGCTTCCCTATCTTCATCAACATTTAACAATTCCTCAAAATATTCCCTCCACTTCCCAATACCTCTAACTCTCCATTTAATAACTCTCCTCTCCTATTTTTAACTGACAAATCCATTTGTTCTCTAGCTTCCTTAACTTGTTTGTTAAGACTATGTATTCATGGATAAAATGTTGATTAGTTGACCTCTAGATGTGCATGCTTATAGTAGAGCAACTGCTATGTTAGGTGCTTATTAGTGGTATCTACAGTAAGAGGAAGAGGCAAATAAGTAAAAGAATTCTATAAGTGCATAAGAGAGGAGCAAAAGTGGATAAACTGAATAAGGGAAAAGTTAGTGTGCATTATATACAGTACAGAGTAGTACAGATTAAAAAGAGATTGAAGAAATGTAGGTAGATTTAAGAATGCTATGTTAGCATGTGCAACCGAGGTTAGTGGGTAGGAGGGTGGTGTGGCAGGGAAGAAGAATGATTGGTGGAATGATAAATGCAAGAGGGTGGTAAGAGAGCAAAATTTAGCATATAAGAGGGTTTTACAATGTGGCAGTGTCTGCTGCTGCAACTGCTGTTGCACGTCTCTGTGTTTTCCTCATTCATTTGTGACTTGACAGTGGTTCAAGATGGACTGAAATATCCTAAGGCTTCCTTTCCTAAGGGTAGGGTTTTGGGTAAAAAAGTGAGTGTGGAGGGGAGTATGCAAGTGGGTGCGGGTGTTGGGGGGATATACTGTGTAATTGATATGGGGTGAACATTATGAGGACCCATAGTCTCAGAAAACATTTTCCTAGAAATTGTGTAAATACATTGCCTCTCCTACTATCTCATATTTTTTGTTTTAGCAAAAGTTTTTTTTACTGCCACAAATATGCATACATTACGACAACATTTTGAAACAAATTTATGAATCTTTTCCAGGTCCTCAAAGCTGGATAAACAGGAGAATGCATCAAATATTGTCCCTCAGGATCCCCACACTGAAAGGCAGAACAGAAAATGTGGCCACCCTTGGGTCTCCAGCAGTGTCCATGTGCCTGGCATACAGTTCGCTGATGAATCCTGTTGCATATATGCTCCAGCGTCCAAAGGTCTCTGATCTTATTGGGACAAAGTAGTACTAAAGGCCCAACTCCCCATATTTGCTGAGCTTACATTTTTCCATGATCACTAGCACCACCCTTTGCCCAACAAAAATGAAAGTAAGTGTTATTTAAGAAGTAGATCTGCCATATAGTCTAACAGTACTTAGCTGCCATTCTTCCAGGAGCAGATTGTGATGTCACTAAGACAGTTAGCAGGATTGCTGAGATCATGTATAGTTTTTCCAACATTGTACGTGAGATGACAGGAAAAGCTTTTTTTCAAATACCTTTATTATTACATTTTGGTGAATCAGTCTGTGAAAGAGAATCACAACTCTTGTACACAGTGACAGGCAACATTGTCAACAGTTGTAAAAGTTTAAAATTTGTTAAAATATAACTAGAAAACTAGGGAAAGTACTAAAAGATTTTGCTGCCTTAAGCAAGGATGAGTAGAACTGACCAACATGCACGGTGAATTAATTGAGATTAACAAAAATGGTGGGAATCGGCCAATATGTTAAAAAAAAAAATGGAAAAACTACATAGGAAGGAGAGAACTATTTTATTGTAAAAAATTTGACTACCGATGTATAGTTATTCAGTTAAGGTTTGAATCTCCATAGCATACAAACTCTTAAAATTTTCATATCAAATTTATCTTGAGCTCAGCTACAATAAAAAGGCATTGTACTTAATGGCTGATTTTTGGTCTCCAAATATAATGTTATACTTGAAAAAGGTTTAGCTAATCTGAAGAGGGCCCTGTCTAACAGTCTTTATTTTTATATATTCTAGTTTGGAAGTTTCTAAATGTGCTTCCAGTGTATCTAGCATCACAGCTAGAACAAGTAAACATTGAGTACAAAGGTGGCACAACTGGATCTTATATTTAAAGTGGCCTCCTACAGTTCAGAGATTAACGAATATGAGAGTATTTTCAATTTGTGCAATAACTTATTTGTAACAATTTCAGATACTTTTTCTAATACTATAACTCAGATGTCCATAGATAGGAAGATTAATATAACAAACATCTTTAGGAACTCTATCATAGGTGTACAAGAGACACTTTATTATCTAGAAAAGATTTTTATATTATTTTTATATTTCCGCAGAGCCGTCCACCTTTTACCCACTCCACTGGCAGCGCTGGGGGTAACTCTTTGTATCCGGAGGTAGCAGCTCCTGGAGTTGGCCCCATAACACTGTTGGCATTCACTTGTGGAACGAGTTCAGCAAGGGGGGAACCATTGCACCCTGGGGATGGCTCAATAGTTGATGCAACCTCCCAGAAGAATTGTCCCATGATATATGACACAGTCGGGCAGATCAGGAAGCTCTACAACCACTTGCAGCGACGGAAGATGCACAAAATATCAAGACATAGCCAGGAAGCATGAAATGTCAATTGTGTGACAAGTTATTAAACTGTAACTAGATCTGTAATTATGTTAGTTAAGGTAGGTTATGTGCAAAGTGTTTTGATTCTTACACATTTTTCCCTCAAGACTCTTAGAGCTGAGTATTATTGCTGGCAACCCCCAGAGCTGAGTACTATTCCCGCTTCCTGGGGATCCCCAGAACTGAAGAGTTGTTGTCTTCCTGGGGATTCCAGAGCTGAACAACTGTTGTTTTCTGGGACTCCCAGAACTAAACAATTGTTCTGTCATCTCGAGGACCCCAGAATTGAATAAATGTTCCATCTTCCTGGGACCCCCAGAACTAAACAACTGTTATCTTCCTGGCACCCCAGAGCTGAACAACTGTTGTCTTCCTGGGACCCCAGAGCTAAACTACTGTTTGTCTTCCTGGGGACCCCAGAGCTAAACTACTGTTGTCTTCCTGGGACCCCAGAGCTAAATAACTGTCATCTTCCTGGGGACCTCAACACCTGAGCATTATTGCATTTTCAGTGGAAACTGAGAACCTGTTCACGAAACTTGAAGAATGAAAATTGGCTGCATATCCTCGTCTGCAGGCCCTCTTCACCATTGAAGAGGACCTCGGAGACTGGAAAATGCAACTCTTTGTTTCACGTTTTTGCAGTGATGTGTGACACTTATGGTGTAGTTCTTAGTTTTGGTTATGATAATAATGGTTCATGTTTTTGAAGAGGGTTTTTCTGTTTCCACTCAACATTAACCACAAATCTTTGGCATGGTCTTCTAACTTGATGCTCAACGTCTGCTCATGATACAAATCAGGTACTTTGTTAAATATGATCAAAGTATTACCACACTACTACCTCTTCTTCTTCTACTAACATCTACTGATGAAATTAGACACATGTGCGGCGTCTGGTTGTCTTTGTTGTGGACGTTTCGCCATCCAGTGGCTGGCTGGATGGCGAAACGTCTACGGTGGGGATGCCCGGGTGTTGTGCATGTGTCATTTCATCCTGTCGGTATTATATACAATTCTTGCACTACTACTACTATTTACTACTACTACTACTACCACTACTACTACCTCTACCTCTTCCTGCCTATATATAGCCGTCCTGCTCCACCTCTGTTAGTGTGACTTTGTCAATGGTCCAAGTCGGACCGAAACGTCGTCGTAAGCTTCTGTCTTTTATGTGCGGGTTATTTGTGTATTGTGTAATATGATCAATATTTTCAAGCCCTCAAATAAAGGGAATGCAATAATTTACATATAAAAGAACAAATAATTTTCAAAATATATTAATAATTTTCAAAATTGGGATGAGCATAGCAGATCTGATTTTTGCAACAACTATGATATATTAGAGACAGCATTTAGTCAAGATTAAAGTTGTAAAAAGTTAAGAATAAAGATCATATTCTTAGACCTGACTAAGTAATAAAATATTGTACTACTTAGAAAAGTAGCAATATTTGGTTGTGTACACACAAAAGGTGTTTATACATATAAAACAGTAGGGCTCCACTTTTATGGCAGGCTAGGTTCCAGGCCACTACTGGAAGCAGACATTGCTGGAAAGCAGAATGCCATTTTTTCCACTTATAAATGCATACAAATGCCAGATAACAAGTTTACATTAACACATATTAAGCTGACAGTCGAACTAGGCATTAAAAAACAAATGTAAAATACACACACAGTACATTCGTTACTGACCTTAAAATATTTGAAGTCTTACTGTAGGGTGAGAGGTGAATAGTATTTATTTGTAGGTAGCCAGTAGGTGTAGATAGGTATGATATTTAAAGCAGCCCAGAGCGATAAAATGCACATACATTACACTCATTACTTACCTTAAAATATGTATAATCTTAATGTAGAGTGAGAGGAAAGTAGTATTTATTTGTACCAAGTCAGGTGACTTAAGAAATCGTAATGACACGATTGCAAATAAACCATACCCCCGGCCGGGATTGAACCCGCGGTCATAGAGTCTCAAAACTCCAGCCCGTCGCGTTAGCCACTAGACCAGCTAGCCACAATAAGATTCATCCAACTAGGTATATTTCTACACCATAGGAAAGTTAGCACAGGCACCTCTGTGACCACAAATGCAAGTTTTTACAGACGAATCTCCAGCTAGCGTGGCCGTAACGAACTCTAGCTCAAGTCCCTTCACTGCCGTCAACATGACTTAAGAAATCGTAATGACACGATTGCAAATAAACCATACCCCCGGCCGGGATTGAACCCGCGGTCATAGAGTCTCAAAACTCCAGCCCGTCGCGTTAGCCCACTAGACCAGCTAGCCACAATAAGATTCATCCAACTAGGTATATTTCTACACCATAGGAAAGTTAGCACAGGCACCTCTGTGACCACAAATGCAAGTTTTTACAGACGAATCTCCAGCTAGCGTGGCCGTGACGAACTCTAGCTCAAGTCCCTTCACTGCCGTCAACATGACTTAAGAAATCGTAATGACACGATTGCAAATAAACCATACCCCCGGCCGGGATTGAACCCGCGTCATGGAGTCTCAAAACTCCACCCCGTCGCGTTAGCCACTAGACCAGCTAGCCACAATAAGAGTTTTGAGACTCAAATGACCGCGGGTTTCAATCCCGGCCGGGGTATGGTTTATTTGCAATCGTGTCATTACGATTTCTTAAGTCATGTTGACGGCAGTGAAGGGACTTGACTAGAGTTCGTCACGGCCACGCTAGCTGGAGATTCGTTGTAAAAACTTGCTTTTGTGGTCACAGAGGTGCCTGTGCTAACTTTCCTATGGTGTAGAAATATACCTATTTTGGATGAATCTTATTGTGGCTAGCTGGTCTGGGGCTAACGCGACGGGCTGGAGTTTTGAGACTCTATGACCGCGGGTTCAATCCCGGCCGGGGGTATGGTTTACCAAGTCAGGTTTTTGGTAGCACGGTAGGTGAGCCGCCCGGCTACCAGTGTAATATACGATATTTAAAGTGCCCCAGAGTGATATTATCATTGACATACCTTGTTCACTGAGTTTTATCATTTCTAATAACTACCTTTATATGCATCACAAACAACAGAGAAGTGATGAGAAATCATGCTGACAATTTGTAAACAAAGCTGAATGCATTAAACATGCATTGATACACATTTTCTCTGGTGATGGACCAGAGAAAACAATTCTTTTCCTCTCCTCGACTACCACACCTCATATTTGTGAAATTTATTGTGTTTTGGGTGTATGTATCATGTTTATGTGCTCTATAATGTGTTTTTTACATAATTTTGAAGACAGTATCATAGATAAATTAATGAAAATGTTTATACTAACGTAAAATAAGGCATTTAATGTGCCCAATAGTGATTATTATTATTACGTATTAGTAGTATTATAATATGGCATCAGCGTTAGAGGACACTCTAGTGATTTTAATGTGTTTCCTGAACACCACACAGTGTGTAAGTTTTTTTAGTACAGGGACACCCTAAGTATAATTATCAGAGTACAGTAGACCGTCATTTAACAGGAGTTTATTTGGCAAGACTCGGTTTTAGCACGAGTGAGAATTGCAGCACAATTTTATACAACACTTAGGAAAATTAATTTAACATGGTTCAGTTTGCGGGGGGGGGAATAAATTTCCCTTTTCCTCAAAGCGGCCGCCTTGTGTGGATCAGCGGGGAGACCCCCCCAACACCACCATCCTAGCATTTTTTGTTCATAGTTCATACGTGTCCAGTTCCACTTCTCTGCTACAAGCAGCTGTGCTGTGAATTGTGTTTTGATCATTTAATTACCATATCTTGTATCTGCCAAGCAATCATGACACCCAGTAGGCATACCAGTGTTGCTGAGAGTGGCAAGAAAAGGTATAAGCATTTAAGTTTTAGAATTATTGAAGAAAACAAAGGTATTAGACAAGAGATAACCTATGGCCATAATGAAGCTCGCTTTGTGCACATAAAATGAAGTAAACATGAGTTGTGTGACTTACTTACTGACTTGACTGAATGACTGATGACTGAATGACTTAAAGTTAGAACTTTTTCACTGAAGAGGACCCTGAAATGGTGTCTAGAGCAGCTGATGCCTTACCATCATTTTGTATAATGTACTGCAGGGTAAAATAAAACAATCCATTACAGATTTTATAGCACACCTGGTACAAACATTGACTTCAGAACCTCTACCATCCACCTCAGCCCAGTAGGGCCACAGCATAACCTCTCCACTCTCCACAATCATCCACAAACACCAGCACCCACAATTTCTTTTGCATTTGTAATTTTAAGCAGTAAAAACAACATAATACATCATGACAGTGAACTACAGTTACATATTCATTTATTTTTGTAAGATGTGGAGGTCTGAATAATAGTTGGCTTTTTTAGGGCTTCCAGGAACATAACCCTATTTTTTCCTGAAAGGGTTCTTCAGTTCATCTAACATGGTTTTACCTAACACAGCATTTTCAGGAACATAACTACTGTGTTAAATGACAGTTTTACTGTACATATATAAAGTACACAATTACTTTAAAACACTTGAAATTCTAGAAAATTTCCAGACATAATGGGAAGACGTGGACTCAGGGATGTTTAAACCCTGGTGGCCTGTGGTGACCATATTAGAGAGTCAGGTGGGAGGAGCCATATAGAGAGTTTTGGTCATAATTTTGAAATGTCTGTATTAGCGGAAAAGCCGTAAAGCGGGGCCCTACTGTATACATACACATATGTACATGTACATATATACATATCGGGCCAGGAGCTGTGACTTGACTCCCGCAACCACAATTAGGTGAGTACATATATACATACAACATGTGTACAATAATTGTGAAGAAGCGATACAAGATACAAAACAACCACATGGAAAGTTGAATCATAGCTCTAGGCCTTTTGTGTTTGCAACGTAAAGGTCTATCATTAACTTCCCCCCTTTTGGCTCACGTGTTCACATGTATCCCTGTGTGTGCACACACAAACACACACACACACACACAGTATGTATAATATTTAAGAGTAGGGGCTA